GGCAAAGAGCACTGGAAGAGTACTAGCCTCACATGCACAAGATCCTGAGTTTGAGCCCCAGTTACACACACACACACACACACACACACACACACACACACACACACACAATAACAGTGTGGGTCCTGAATTTAGGTGGACCTGGATTTGACTCCTGCCTCTTCCACTTATAAGTTCTAAGACCTGAGCATGCTACTTAATTTTCCTGTTCATCAATTTCTCATCTCAACAGTAGGAATAGTGATGGTAACCCACTTCAAAGGGTTCTTATGATATTAAGTGATATAATGTATACAAACACTTAATGATGTCTGCACATGCCATGTGCTCAATAAATATTTATTATTATTATTACTATTAGTAGTAGCATTTGCATTTCAATCACTATTATCACACTGTTAGATACTATTCTAGGTCAAGCTAAAAATCCTAAACTAAAAAAATAAACAAAAACAAAAACAAAAAAACCCACAACCACTAAACTTGTATAACCAAGAAGAACTATTTTTCAGTTTCTGTATATAATCTCTTTGATCTCTTGATCTAAGATAACCTTTTCCATCTTTAAAGCAGGATCTACTCCTAGGAACCTACCTCTTCTCCATTCTAGTCTATTCAAATCATATACACTCATACATTAATCATTAATCTGTTCAATTTATAATACTTTTACACATGTATGTGTGAAATTGATAAGGCAAATTGATTTGTATCATGTGTACTAATGAAAATACTTAATTTAGCTGGCAATAGGAACTTTAATCTGTGTTTCCTTTGCAGCTACAAAAGTATCTATACCAATGTACTATAGGCAGCAGATAGTCAATAATTATGATGGACAGGTAGTTGTTTAAAGGACTTAATCACAGTAAGAAGAGAGAATATATTTAGCATCATGTTTGAATCCTACCTGACATCTTGGGAAATGCAATAATTCAAACCTACGCAGGCAATTAAAGGAATGCTTTTTATTGCTGCTTGACCAGAAATCATACCTAATGGTCTCTGATACACTGTGATTAATYACTAAGATGGTTAGTATGGGACATTCATTCCCTTCCTTCATGTCCCTGCTATTCTCAGTCTCTTTATGTCACAAGCCATGCATAGCAATATTTATTTTAATTAGGAAGAGGTAATACAAGCAAAGGTAATTTGTAATAGGTATGTTCAGTAAGGAACCAAATTGCACAGCAAGATCTCATACTGGTGACAAAAAGACCTCCACTAAAGATGTAATTTTGCCTAACAATTTATTTCTTGGGACAAATTCATAAATGCCCAAGTCCTGTCCCAGCACTATTAGGTAAATCTTGCTCTCAGAAGAAATACAGGAGGAGGTTCAAGTGATAGGTACCCTTTCTTGGATCCTTCACCACTGAGATCCCATGTTGGGATCTTGACCTAATCCCTAAGATAGAATAATAATTTTACATTATGGGAAAAGAAAATTATTTCCGTTTTTTATTCTACCTTTAATGTTTTTCAAAACGAATTTGGCTACTAAAAATCTGATTGAAATTAGTCCACAAGGATGAAGCACACAGGGAAGGTAGAGTCATGGTGGAGATGATGATGATAATGACAGTGATGCTTAAATACTTCCTAAACATTTCATTGTAAGCCCTATGACAAAATATTTAACTATATTATCCAACTTAGTCCCCACAATTGTGAGAGCTTCATATTATGACCTATGAAAAACACCCTGAAGCTTAGAGAAATTAAATAATTTGCCCAAGGTCATACCACAAATGACACTCAAGTCTGGGTTTTCAACCCAAGTGTCAGAAACCAAATCCACTGACATCAGTCATCATAAATCTTATGATTAACAATTTTTTTGTGACCTATTGCTAACCATGGGTTGTCTAAAATTAGATTTAGGCTTGGTTTTACTACGTCTGACAGAGTAAGTCTAAATATTTCCATAATAAAAATTAAGCTCCCCATCTAAAAAATGGGAAAGGGCCATGAATAGTCAATTGAATTTTCTAAAAGCAAAGATCAAATTACAGATATTTAAAACTCAAAGAAATTCAATTTGATTCAAGAAACAGTAACAGTGAGGTTGGTATACATGGTACCGTGAGAGTTCAGGGATGGAGGGAGCAGTGTCACTGTCCCCACAAGCTAAAAGTCTAACAATAAAAAAGGGCAGAGATTGTTGATAGCTCTTACTTCAAAGTCCCTTTGAGAAGGAGACATGTTCAGGAGAACACCCTATCTAAGCTGTGGCTCCATTCCCTGATACTCTCTATCAGAGAGGCCTACAAACTTTATAAAATCCCAGAAAAGAAATAATTTAGGCTTTGTAGACCACACACTCTGTTATGGTTTAGATATGAGATGTCCCCTGAAAGCTCACGTGTGAAACAATGCAGGAATGGTCAGAGGTGAAATGATCAGATTATAGAAGCTAAACCTCATCACTGGATTAATCCACTTGTTGGATTAATCATCTGAAAGGACTCCTGTACTGGGTGGCAACTATAGGCAAGTAGGGGTGGCTGGAGGAAGTAGGCCTTTGGAATTTATATTTTGTCCCTTGGTGCCTCTCCTGTCTCTCGACTCTCTAGCTGCCATGACCTGAGTGGCTTCCCTCCACCACAACATTCTGCCATGATGTTTTGCCTCACCTCAGACTCCAGAGTGGAGTCAGCCGACCATGGAATGGGACCTCAGAAATTGTGAGCCCAAATTAAATTTTTCCTCCTCTAAGCTCTTCGTGTCAGGCATTTTGGTCAGGGTGATGAAAAGCTGATTAATACGTGGTGGTCTCTACCCATCTCTGCTGTTATACTAAAAACCTAGCTATGTACCACAAGTGAAAAAACAGGCAAGACTATTCCAATAAAGCACCATTTTAAAAAACAAACAGTGGCCCAGATGCAGTTCACAGGCTATAATTTGCCAGTCCCTCCTCTTGTATATTGCTTTATTTTATTTTTTTCCTTTTAAGCACTTGACAAAATTTGAAACTTTCTTGCTTATTAATTGCTAAGCATTTCCCTCCACAAAAATGGCAATTCCTTGAGAGCAGGACTCTTATTGCTTATCACAGCTGGCTTTCCAGTGCATAGGGGGGATTTCCTGGCATGCAGACTGTTCACTCTAAATATTTGTTACATAAGTTAATGAGCAAATACCACTTCACAAAGAAAAGATACAGATTTACAATGAACATGTAAAATGTATTTGGCCTTATTAAAAATAAGAATAAAATAATGACATGCTACTTTTCACTTTTCAGAATTAATAACTGTATAGAGAAGGAGAAGAGGGAGGTAAGGTCTAGTGTAAATAAACGTGTTTGTAAACTGGTCCTCTCATCTACTACAGAGAGCAGAGAAAATTGGTGCAACATTTCTGGAGGGCCATTTGCAATTATATATATATATATATACTAATTCATAATTCAAAAAGGACAAAGRATTGAATAGATATTTCCCCAGAAAAGACATACAAATGACTAAAAATCATATTTAAAGCTTCTCAACATCATTAGTCCCTAAAGAAATGCAAAACAAAATCACAACAAGATACCACTTCACACCCATTAGGATAGTTTTTATTAAAATAAAAKAAAAGAAAAGAACAATACTTGATGAGAATATGGAGAAATTGGAATTCTTGTGCATTGTTAATAGAAGTATAAAATTATATAGCTGCTATGGGAAACAKTTTGGGTGTTCCTCAAAAAATTAATACCATGGGGATCCAGCTACTTCACTTCTAGGAATATACCCTAAATAATTAAAAACTAGAACTCCAATAAATACTTGCATAACCATGTTCATAAAAAACTTATTTACAATAGCCAAAATGTGAAAACAACCCAAATATCCATTAATGGATGAACTGATAAACAAATGTTGTATATAGACATAGAGGAATATTATTTAGCCTTTAAAAATGTATAGGGTTAGGAAGGACAGCAGAATGAAAAAGACATTATTACCTTATGTACATACATGACTGCATGATCAATGTGATTATACAACACGTACAATCAGAAAAATGAGAAATTATACTCCATATATGTATGACAAAAAAATAAAGRATGAGGGTTGGAGTGGTGGCTTAGTGGTAGAGCACTTGTCTAGCATGTGTGAGGTACTGGGTTTGATTCTCAGCACCACATATAAATAAATACAATAAAGGTCCATTGACAACTAAATAACATTTAAAAAAATAATGATAATTTTTTWAAAAAAGCAATAAAATACTGATACATGTTACAACATGGGTAACTTTGAAACATTATGCCTCACAAAGTAAGCCAGATATAAAATAAATATATTATATGACTCCATTTATATGCAGTACCTAGAGTAGACAAATTCAGAGAGATGGAAAGTAGAATAGGGGTTATCAGGAGCTGGGAGGGGTTATCAGGAGCTGGTCAAAATTATTTTTATAGGTATATTTTATAATAAATATGTATACATACTTTTTACTCTAAAATTCAATTCCTAAAAATGACCTCTGAGGATATAACATAGAATGGAACAAATATGTATGTATTAGAATCCCCAAATCTCTTTATTCATCAATAATAGTGCCTGACACAACAAATATATAATAGAGACTATTACAAAGGCTTTTTTTCCCACATAAATATACCTCCATGGCATTATTATTCAAGGAACAAAAGCAAGTTACAGAAAGCATGATCTCATTGATAGAAAAATTCTAAAGTTCATCTCTGAAGGGAGAACATTCTAGATATTTCCAAAGTGCTAATAGGGATTATGATCCAAATGGCAGATTTCAAGTGATTTTAAAATGATCTACTACATAATTTTCTGTACTAACTGAACTTTTTTTCCACAAAGAATATTCTTAACCAAAGTAATATGCTATTGTGAACTCATTTTTTCACATTAATTAAGGAAGGTGAGACCCTTGGTACTTGCAATTAGATGTTTTTTGTGTTGTCATTTCCATAGCAATAATACTACTTGTAAATAACCAGATACAATTTGAAAGATACATACCTCAGTTAATGGTGTTGGCTCTCTGTCACTCAAAAACAGAGCTGATATTTCAGAGCAGCATTCAATAATCATGTTCTAGAAACAAGAAGAAGGCAATATAGTGAGGTTGGTATTACTGGTCAAATACTGCACATTTAATGATAAGCGATTAGTTTCCTTTGTCTCGTTTTGCATCTCTGAACCCTAGTTCCCAAGATGAGAAAAAGAGGATCAGAATCACCATTTCTTAAATCATCTGGGTTATTTGAAAGGATACAGGATGGTCACAAAATATAAGATCTGCAATTAATCGTGAACAATACATTATTTTAGGATTCTTTCTCTGTAATTCACAGTTAAGATTCATGTCACAGAGTAATAACAAGCAAATAATTCACACCAAACTAAGATTTTAGAAAATCACTTTTCTTCTGAGAAGAGAGTCCTGGACTCAATCCCTAGGAGGGATTTAAGCAGAAAAGAATAACTGGGAGTGGGAAAGAAATAGGAAAAGAAAATGGAAGAGCATGCCTACACTGCCTGTTGAGGACACTGCCATGGCCCCACTGAATGKATATACCAGGCAGCCAGTGGGCCAGATGTGGCATGGTTTGTCTAGAGGAGGAAACAGATGACAGAGAGAACTTTGTTGCCTGAGGGCCCCAGTGCAGCCTTGGTTCCTGAGTCTCCAGCTCCATTTTCTGTGAGGCCCCCTGTGCCCTGTTTCCAGTCGCTGGCTCTGCACAGGCTTACTTATTGCATGCTGACAAGTTTGTGCCTCCTCCCTCATTTATTTTGCTTGAGCTAGTGTTGTTTTCTTTATGTACAACTAAAGGAGCGGTGGCTACAAATTGTCAGAGATAAGCCATGCCAACCTCACAATGTTGCTAGCATCCAGCCTGACAGAAGCAACAAGTTATTTTTTATGATAGAATTAATATATGCATGTACTAGCATCCAGAATATCACAATGATAAAAGTATTTTCCTGTTTAAATTATAACTGAGCAATGCTGGTTAAAACCTTAAAATAAAGAACCAAACAACAACAGACCTTACAGCCCAAAACCAGGTTATGGGCAAGCTTTAGTAAATGAATACATATGGAAAAGATCCAATTTTAAAATTACAAAACTATAATTCCACTTTAACAACTATTCAAGATATTATAGTAGGTCAGTGGGACACAAAGATGAAGAAAGACAGCCCACTCATATAAAATTTACAATTATTAAAAAAATAGATTTATACATATCGAAGTTAAATATCAAGTCAAATATGATCAGATCATATCAGTTGTGACATGTTATAGACAGAAAGGTAGGATACTATTGCATACTAAGMAATTCTTAGTATGAGGAATGAGGAAGGCTTCCTGGAAGAGGTTTGTATGAACTAAAAGAGTAGGAGGCTCTCCTGTGGGATCCATGGTCCCCCAGCGGGAGAGAGCCATGTATGCAATGAGCTTTCAGGTAGCACAGGAATCAGAAATGGTCCTTTCTAGTGTGGCATGGTGGCACATACCTGGAATCCCAATGGCTCAGGACAGTGAGGCAGGATGTTTGCAAGTTCAAAWCAAATCAGTGAGGCCCTAAGCAACTTAGTGAGATCCTGTCTCAAAAAAACCAAAACAAAAAAAATGAGCTGAGAATGTGGCTCAGTGGTTAAGCAACACTGGGTTTAATCCCTGATAACAAAAAAAAAAAAAAAAAAGGAAGAAATGTTCCTTTCTGTAGACCTGTACAGGAAGCAAAGCAGTAAGCTTGGTGACAAATAACTGGAGAGGTCAGTTTATAACAGGTCACATAGGAGTGAGGAAAGGAAGTGGACCGAGGGAATAGTGAAAGAGATTGACTTATAAATGTAATTCAGACTACAGTTTAAAGGTGAACTGGCCAAAAGAAGACAAGGGAAAGAGAAATCAGCTATAAGGCTGCTCAGWCTGTCTGGGAAGCAAGTGATGTTCACCCAGGATTGTGAGTGAAAAGAGGCCTGGTTTGTGGGGCTAAAAGATGGAGGGCAGGCAGGAGGCCCAGCCCTGATCAGGTACATCAGGATGTGGAGCCTCCCGGGCTCCCAGTCCACTTTACCAGACAGAGGGGAAGTACATCCACTCCTATGCTCCTCCAATTTTTCTGTATTTTTATGTCTCTAATTGAGTTCTTAGGACTGGTTAAAGTGTGTTTTCTMTATATATAAAAATTTCAATAACATCCATGATGGGTTATTGTCATGATTTTTGTCAAGAGCCTATCAAGCAAAATGACACTGTCTATATCATTAATCATTATTTCACATAACAGATGAAGATAGCAGGATTACCTGATAAATGCCTTCCACTGCCTGTCTCAACATTTATCAAACAGAAATTTTGTCTCCACAACATTCTATTACTCTGGCATCATTTGAAGTAAACCACATACACATACTGTAAAATTGGCTGATCTGAGGTTGGGCTGTGAGTACCTCCCATGACCTCACTACCGCAGAAGTGAAGACAGGAAAAGCACAGAATGCAATCCTAACCAGAAAGTGGCTGGAGGCGTGCTGAGGTTGGTGGGGGAGCAGGGAGGGTGCAGACGGACCTTTGCTCAGTCCTCAATACTGTGAGACTGTGGATGTGGAGTGTCCCCCACAAGCTCATGTGGTAAGGACTGCCCACCACAGTGGTGCTGTTGGGAATGGTGGAAACTTGAAGAGACGGGTCCCAGTTGGAGGAAACAGGTCACTGGGGAGTGCTTTTGAAGGGGTTTATTTTTCCCCATGCCCCTTGCATGGTCAAAATATGCTCTTTCTCTCTTCCTATTTCTTTCTCTCTCTCTGCTTCCCATGAGGTAAGCACATTTGCTCCCCATGCACTTCTGACCATGTTTCCTCACCACGAATTCACAGCAATGGGGTTAAGCAACTATGGACTGATATCTCTGACACTGTTTAGCCAAAATAAATCTTTCCACCTTTTAGGTTTATTTATGTCAGGCATGGGGGATGTCCTTCTGARTGACTTGGACATATTAAATCCAGTTCTTGGGATGAGCTGAAATCCTCATAATTTTTTACATGTAATAGGAAAGAAACTTCCCACTTTTTTTTTCAAGCTTTCAAACTCTGGCTTCCCTCATTACTCCTTCATATACCAATATGGCTGTTTTAGCAAATTGTAGGGGTAGATAGTGGGATSCCCTTCCAGGTGAGATGCTGCCCCTGCCTCCTCCTAACCCCCAGACCTCAGCTTGACTTTCCACAGTTCTTTTCTAGAGAACAAAGTTCCTTCACTATTCACTCAACATCTGTGGACTGCCTCCAACATGCCATGGAGTGGTAACAAGATATTAACCAGACACAAAGAGAGTTTTAAGGAGCTCTTGGTCTAGTGAGAGGAACAGGGGAGACAGACTCCTCCAGCACTATGTGGTGTGGGCAGAGAGGAAGCAGCACTTATTCCATGGATCTCCCCAGGCCCACCTACCACTACATTCCCCCTACTCTTCTTCCACAATAGATATCATACTGTCTCCTGAATATAAGATTCCGCTCTGTGACTTCATAACTAATCTCTTGCTCTATTCTCAGTCTGGAATGAGTTTCTCTACAGGTATCCAACTAGAAGTTTCACAAATAACTACTGAAGAAGCACTAGGTATCTATGATACAAAGATCAATAAGATATCTAAGCAAAAGGAATTCACAGTCAAGAGAGAAGAAGAGCTGTATAAATGGCTAATTACTAAAGCAATACAGCAAGGACATAGGATATTTTGGGATAAGAGGAAAAGTGACTTTCTTTTCAGTCTATAGGAGTTATTATAGAATGCCATTTGAGCTATTTAATAGTACATTATCTTGCTTAGCTTTCTCTACACACACACACACGCACACACACACACAATCTATGTAAATAAGATTTTAAAAATAATAAATTGGAATAGTTTTCATCAACAGCCATACCAGTGAAAAAGAAGGATTACAGAAACCTTGCCCTTCTGTATAGTATAGAACCTGCATCATGGAGAAGTCAGTCAGAAAGTTGGACTACATAATAAAGACCTAAGTGAGAGCAGGAAGAAGATAAGAAACAAAATGYTGCACACTAGCTGGAGGAAGAGTGTTAGGAGTTTAAGCCACTGTTAGGGTTGCTGTGGATGTCGGGAGATACCAGAGCCGGTGCTACAGTTTGGATAGGGCATCACTATGTCCCCCAGAGGTTCATGTGATTCAAGGCTGGATCCTCAGAGTGGCAGCCCTGGGAGATGTTGTGGACCTCTAAGAGGTAGGGTCTAGTAATAGGTCCTTAGGTCATGAGGGGGAGCATGATCTCAGTAATAGTTCTCTGTAACCCCTAGAATTCTCTTGAGAGGGACGTTATAAAAGGATCAAGCCTAGCCCATCTAGCTCTCCCTCTACTTCCCAGTTCAAGATGTGATCTTCGGTTGTTGTTATACCATCTGCCATCTACACTGGGCCCCTCACCAGAGTCTGAGTCTGAACTTTGAATCACTAAAATAGTGAGCTTAATAAACCTCTTTTCTTCCTAGGTAGCATATGTCAGTAATTTCATTACAGTTGCAAATGCTAGCTAAAACAGCTGAGAAAAAACTGAAAGTAGTTTTGCTATGTGTTATTAAAAATTCACCCTAGCTTTTTCACTGTTGTGACTAAAAGACCTGACAAGAACAATTTTAGAAGAGGAGAAGTTTATTTGGGGGCTCAGAGTTTCAGAGGTTGTAGTCCACAAATAGCCAGCTTGATTCTTCAGGGCCTGCAGCAAGGCAGAACATCACGGTGTAAGGGTATGATGAAGGGAAGCAGCTCAAGCCATCACACCAGGAAGGAGACAGAAGAGAGCTCAGCTCTCCAAATATGTACCCCAGAGGCACACCCCCAAAGACCTACCTCCTCCAGCCATACCCTACCTGCCTTCAGTTATTACTTAGTTAATCCCTATAGGGGATTAATTCACCAATTGGGTTAAGGCTTTCATAATCCAATCATTCCATATGAAAATCTTGTATTGTCTCACACATGAGGTTTTGAGGGATACCTAATATCTAAACTATAATACCCCTAAATGTTCTTATGAGAAATTCTGAAAGATATAGAACGTTTCCAGTGATTTTCAACATCACACTTCAAATGTCACTTTGCTGAGAAGGCTAGCAGGTGGTTGGAATCATTATGAATGACCACTGGGTACTATATATGGCCACATTCATACAATGTTTAAGCTTCTCCATTTGTATTCATTCCTGAATGTCTTCACATCCCCAGGCCTAGAACACTTTTTCACATAATGGTTTCTCAGAAAGAATTTGATAATTGAAGCCCATGTTCAATTATATTTTTCTATATGCTTTTATAGGACTTTGATTTTTCAAATATGACTATATACTAATTTTAATTGCCTTGTACCATCCAAGTATACCTTAAATATTTGCCAAATTAATCATAGGTGATCTGGAAAACTTGTATTCAGCTTCCTATATCAGTATACTATCGTTCCAAATAAGGATTTGCATCTTTCATATACTTTTAAAAGTCTGGTATGCTCTGAACATGCCCTTGAGCTCTCTAAAAGATTAAAATAACTCAGTCATTCTGAGCCAATGTTGTTCATTTCAGAAGGGTACACAGGTTTTCAAGCAAGAAGTGATTGGAAGACCTGTTCTGTAGCTCTCGCTCCTAATTTTAACTTAAATTAATATCTATATTCTAAAGTTCCTGGCTTATTTTAGAAAAGAAAAAAGGAGGGAGTGAGAAAGAATGTGATTTACTATCCCACATATCGTCCAAAGGCACATTTTTGGACTCTTATAGTCCATAACCCACCAACAATATATATTGTAATAGAAATAAATATATCAGATTATAGCAGTTATGAAATCCTATCCAATTCCAGACCAGAAACAATCTCCTCAAGTGTTCTAGTTAACTTCTAATTAGCTCCAAGTGAAGGTTGTCATGACAATGAATGACCAAATTTAGTCAATGAGATTTATTTGCTATAACCCAGAATCTAGCTTCCCTCCCCCCTCCCCCGCCCCCGTGCTGGTTAGTATTATGGGAAAAAATGAAAAAGAAAAAGTTTAGTTTACTTCCATTTCTCAACTTTCAAATGCTGTGAGCTAATTTGCTTATCAATTCACCCAAACAAATATTAGTATTTCTTCCATCTGGTGATGTTCTTTCATACAGAGATAAGAACAGGGACACATGTAAAATGCCCTATTTTAAAGATAAGGTAACACTTTCAAGGTGCATAAAACAAATTTAAAAATTAAGAAGCGAACATCAAATTTGAAAGAAATTWGTTCTACTCCAGGGTTGATGTACTGGCACTTACCATTCAGACCTGGAAATGAAAGCAAGCCACAAAYCTTCACCAAGTCAAGGCAGGTCCTCTGGAGTCCTGCTTGTGCTTACATTCAAACACCACTCTCTCCTTGTCCCTATTTATTCCTGATTTGTTTATATTCACAGACAACCTCCTGACTTAGATACTTGGCTCTTTGTTATGAATTCAATACCTACATCATGGACATTCTGGTGACTCTCATTCCACCCAAAGAACTCATCTTTCCACTTCACAGCAGTATTTGAGCACAAAGATTATGTATTTTAGAGATGAAGGGAAATTATTCCTGGAAAGGATAACTGAATGGACCTTAGATAGTAAAATTGAGTGGTACAGTACATTCTAGAATCTCTWCTCTTACGGATGCTCATTCTCCTGTCTCAGTCAATCTAAGTTGAAAAGACAAATGAGTTTGGGTTAAAACTGTAAAGGAGTGGATTTAGTGACATTTTCAGCAGAGAATATTCTAGACTATGGCTCAAAGATAGCAATCTGATAGGTTTTTTCTGTTACTGAAAAACTGATTATTAGTGTTCTAGAAAAGAATTGTTTAAATTAAAAGTTGAATTCTTGAAAATAGATATGAAACACAACATACACTTTATTTAAAAAAAAAACTACATGTACAAAATCTCTTGAGTTTGAGATAGTCTGATCTATTGGAGGACTTATTTTAGGGACTCAGGATAGTATATCAGTAAGCATCTTAATTCATATTGCAACATCTGAGGACACTGAAAAAGATATACAACCAAAATTCTAAGACATCTGTTCTATGATAAATGTAGGCACAGAGCACAGAAGACACAAATGCTGGGAGCTGGCATTTTGTAAAGGCTAACTATACTTGCCTGATAGATTCTCTTACATCTGGACTGGGTGCCTTTGTAATAATGAAAATCATATTCATTCACTCTGTTGGTAAATTAAGACTGAAAATGCCAGCAAGAATACTCTGAAAATTGAGAAAGTTGCCAACTTTTATGCCTTCGCATAATAAAAGTACATGGATAGATACATAAGAAAACAAAGAGCCACATCAAGAATATTTTTTAAGAATTAAAAATGTTTTGTTACTGGTAACCAATKAAATATTAACCTAACCAAAAATTACTTAAGAAAAGTTGTACAAGACCCAAAATAAAGGGAAAATCCTAAAATCTTTCAGATTAAAAAAAAAAGAGGGATGAGACCCAAATTGTTGGGTACTCAACCAGGAAAGCAGCAAAGAGAGGTTCAGAATCAAAGTCACAGCTGGCACTGAGAGCAGCCAGCCTTCAACTGGACAGAGAGGATGGAAGGTTCCAGGAGGAAAATGGGATCAGGACATCATATGATCAGTATGAACCCCTGAGAAAAATTTATGGATAAACACAAGAAAACTCATGTAAATGAAATATAAAAGCCAAGTCAAGAAAGGAAAAAAAACCACAGCATGTTAATCTGACTCAGCTGTGAACATTAGTACAGGATCATAATCAACACTAATATCAACTAAATTTTGTGATTTGACTATATTAAGATGGGAAGGGAAAAGGAAATTTGGGAGAACATAATTAGCTAAATCTGTATATAACAGAAAATCAATAGATGATATCCAAAAACTTGACACCTGAAGACCGTTTTTGTGTTTGTCATTAGTGCTACTCAGCAGTATTTCCGACTGTCAGACTTCCATGCTGGTAGAGGGWTTGTTGGTTTCACATGTGACTTACTTGGCAAACAAAATGTTAGTGGAAGCGACATGACGGAAACTCAGAGCCAATATGACTTGCCCCCTTTCTTCCCTCCTGCCTCGGTGACTGCGATGTTGCACATGATGGTATGTCGCCAGCCTCGATGCTGACATGTGGAGACATGGAGCAGGCAACTCACTGCTCATAAGTGACACTGCATATTATTTATAGATTTKGAAACAAATAAAAGAGACAGCTTAAAGAGCTAAAAATTGTCTTTGCAGAGCAGGATGGTGAAGCAAGGAGAAGATGGAYAGGAGATCACTCCTTTTTGTTTTAGGTCCTTTAGATCTATTTTGTCTTCTTAAAAAAAAGTCTACATTCACTACAAAGTATATATCTTGAGAAATTAAATTAATATGCAAATAGAAATTTAAAGAACCAATGATTAGATTACAATATGTGTTCTCTACCCTTACTCCCTAGAGAATAAAGGATTTCCATCCCACTCTGAAAGAAGAAGGAATACTTCAATTGCTTTGGGGCCATTACTAATTTTCCTCAGGAGACAGGAATGATTTAACTGATGGGTGAGTCACCAACAGAGCATGGTAGACTCAACCTCTTCTGGGCAATCTTTCTTTATGTATGTGGGAGCACGCTACCTGCAGGAATATTATTTTCTGTTCCCACGTGCAGTAAGCTTGKTAGGGAGCTGAGGGGGGAGGGGAAGACCGTGTGGTTACACGTATGTGCTAGGTGACTGTGCATAGGTGGGCAAGTCTGGATAATTTGGTAGTAAAATATTGATAAGCTCATTTGACCACAGATTGAAAGACACGTTTGTTAATCAGCTTTATCAGTAATGACATTGATATTTTGAATCTCCATATATCCATATCTTGTGCCCCATTTCAGAACTCAAGAGGGGGAGAGAAGAAATGATCCCCTCCTCCGGAACAAACACTGGTCAGCACAGAAAACACTCAGATTATCAAGGGATTAATCACCCCTCTACCACTTCTTTGGTGAAAAAAACAAAACAAAAACATGTGCATAAAAAATGTCTGAAAGCATATATGCTTCTCTGTACTTTCTAGTTCTTATTCACACACTTGGGGATAYAAATATTTAAATAACAGAATGAAAAAAGCTAGAAAGCATTGTCTCTTGGGATTCATAGTCATATCTAAACAGTCTCTGGATGGGCTTCTTTCATTCGCTATCAATATTCTTGTAATCAGTATGCTTAGAAGAGCTCTGAAGGAAACAGTGGCAAAAAGTTGGGTCACATCTGGTACTAGCAGTAAAGAAAACAGAGGGCAGAAGAATCTCAAGTTCAAGTTTAGTTACATAGTTCTGTTCTGACAAATTAAAATATAACTTAAATAATTATGCATAATGACACCCATCCTGCAACAAAAATGCTTCTTTCTATGGTTTAATAACTTACTTCTATATCTTTACCAATTGGTTTCTCTTCTGTTTCATCCATTTTATATATATCCTCATTTGCAGTATTTTCAGGAGTTGCTGGCAATGATAGTTCAGCTATTTGTGCAAGATTAGAAAGTTTCTCATGAACTGAAATAACCCTAAAAATGACAAACATATGAGTATTTTATTTGAAAAGAAAGGCATTTTTAATTTTTGAACCAATAAAATGTATAAAGAAGGCCCTCATTTATTTAACAGCTAGATTTCTAACATCCCCAGACATTATTCCATCACTCCTTCATTCAAGCAACATGAGCAGAGACACTCCCTAACTCTCACRATGTTCATGGTCTACCTACGTACTCAGGTTGATACATATTACAAAACATCAAGGGCACAATGAGARAAAGGTACACACCCAAATTATTCCTAAAGGTGAAAAAAAAGAGAATAAATATCTACATGGGCAATAAACAAAAGATTTATTCCTAAATAAATCTTAATGCCAGGCTATGTTAGGTTAGCTGACCTGAAGGTATAACAGTAATGACAAGTTGGCAATGACTTGAAAAGGCCAATGGATGAGCTCACAACTCTTCAGAGTACTGTACACATCTGTGTGTGTGTGTGTGTGTGTGTGTGTGTGTGTGTGTGCGCGCACACAGAATGTGGGTGGGGGAGAGGGAAGAAAAATCAAGAAAGAAGGAAAAGCAAGAACCAAAGAGGAGGTAGAGAACACAGTGGCGGTGATGATGAATATGGAAAACTCCAGGGGCCCTGGACCAGTGAATAGAGGATGCTCTGAGAGCAAAGGTGGACAGAGGAGGGGAGGCTGAAGGAAGTAGGCTTGCAGCTTAATAAGGCAAACAGTGACCTGCGTGGCCCCCGGCGTCCTCTACACCACAGACACAGCAAGAATGTGCATGCATTTGTGATCTGAAGATGAAGACAAATTACTATGGAAACCAATAATCCAGAAAGCAAGAGTACACACAAGAATGTCAATTCTCCAGTCTCCACAGCACTCTCATCTGCAGGAAGGTGTAATAATACTTGATTACCCTAATGATGGTTCTCAACAATAAAAAAGAGTTTTTAAAGTAACTTTAATTATCTATGAAGATTTTCATTTATACAGAATGTTTTATAAACTTTTCTATTAGAAAGGCAAGAATTAAAATATAACACTGTTGTTAAAAGTTTGTTTGAAAAATTTTCCCATTAAAAAAAGGGTCATCTCCAATAATTCTGGAAACGCTGCCTGATACACTGGAAAGGGAACAGAACTAGGACTTCTGGGACTTGGTGAGTTCCACTWGGTTCCATCACACACCAGCCACAGGACCTCAAGTAGGTCACTTAACCTCTCCGACCCTAAGAGTCCATCTACTGCAAAATGAAAATAATAAAATCTACTTTATCTAACTCTTAGGGCTTTTGTGAGGAGAAAATAAGTAACTATGTATTCTTAACCATAAAAAAACACATAAAGGAAAAATAATACTCTAAAACACCATTCTTCATTCTAATACCTAGAGAAAGAATTCTTATTTCTCTTCCAAAAATAGCATAAGTCTGGGTGTAGCTCAATGGTAGAGTGCTTGCCTGTCAAGCTGGATTGTTTCAGCTCTGAAAAAAAAAATGTTTGAGCCAAACTTCCTAATTTTGTTGCTTAGCTATACTGAAGGTCAGGACCCAGCAGGAAGTAGAAAGATGGATGGCAGGAAGATAAAGGCAGAGACAGTGCACAGAGAACTTGTTCTTGGTCACAACAGCATAATCATCACTGAGAACTACACAGCAACCTTTATGTGAGTTTATTGAAAACACTATTTTTTCTTTGTTGTTGTAAGAAAAACACCACCAATTTTAAAATACTTTTTCTTTATGAGAACTTAAATAGGAGATGGGAAGATGGGCAACAAAACAAGAATATTCTTTGGCCCATTTGTTTTGAGCCTAATTTACTGCTACTTTGCCTGACAAAGGATGGATAAGTCCTATCTTGACCCTCATCAGAACAGAAGGAATACTAGCCTCAGAGAGAGAGGAACAGTCTATTTTCAGAGTTCCAGCAAAGGACAGGTGAGAAGAAAGATCATCAGGCACCATCCTGTGTGATGGCCTCAGTGACAGAGGTTTGTACCTATTTTGGCAACCCTACTATTGACCACAAACACACTGAAATTAAGGATATTTTAGAACAAATAAAAAGCCACCTATGAGTTTGATGACTTTCTCCTCTACAGAAATTGTATTTTTATCTGAAAAAAAAAAATCTTACAATGTTCTTGGATTTGTAAGAAGTGCAAAATTTCCTAATTTTGATGCWTAGTAATGCTGGTATTTGACCTGTGCCTAGGTTTTCTGCCATTCTGGAAGAAACAAAGAAAGAAAGGAAAAAATATTTTAAAATTGGTGGTGTTTTTCTCACAACAACAAAGAAAAAAATAGTGTTTTCAATAAACTCACATAAAGGGAGGGAGGGAGGGAAGGAGGAAGGAAGGAAGGAAGGAAGGAAGGAAGGAAGGAAGGAAGGAAGGAAGGAAGGAAGGAAGGAAATTGAAAGCCTGCCAGTCTTAAAACAACTCTTGTTTTATTCTCTTTCATGGGGAGACCAAGAGGTTCTTCAAAATGAAAACCATGGAGCAGGAACAGGACTCCAGGGAGAGACAGAGAAGCAGCAGTTCTCTGTTCAGCAAGCTCTGGCTTAATGCCTGGCTAGGCACAGAGCTGACCCTGGCAGGCATGGGTACTAGTGTTCTCAGCTYCCCAAAACATGATCATCCTTCATCTGGCTTGAGCCTATCAATAGTGCAAAAGCTAGGCAGAGCAGATAGTATCACTCCCAGCTTGCACTGGAGGAACAGGGGCTGAGGTCACCGAGCCTTGAATAACAGAGTTAAAAATAAACTAGCTAAGTAATGAAAACCTTTTTAAGAATTAAGAAACAAAAATGTATTAAAATGGAATAGAAGAAGAGAGAAAGCAAGCACAAAAAATATCAGAGATCATTCCTATTTGATGAAGAAGAATCCATGTGGCTGAAGCATAGATTTTGAACAATATAAAATGGTACTGAGTTTAGAGGGAAATGTGAGATCAGGGAGCTGGTGGGGCTGTAACACAGTTATTTTCTAAACACATCAAAGTTATAGGCAAAATACAGCACAGACAATGTCCTTGTGCTTGGCCATCTCTGAAGTGTCATGAACTGTCGTTCCCCCAAATGCCCAAGGTGTTGTTATTATTAGTTTTGTTTCCATTTTTCTGGTGAGAAAACTGAGGCACAGAGAGGTTAGGTAAGTTGTTTAGGATTGTGCTGGCAGTAAGGGGTACAACTGGCATTTGAACAAACCACTGAAATATAGTACTCCTCAACATAAAAGATTCTCCCAAAAATTTCTTGTGAAAGGTCTTCAATGCTTCGCATTGTACATTACTGAAACAGCCTATACTTAAAGAGAAATATCAGCAAAGAGGATTCAGAGAATTGAACATGATCTGGGTTTACTTGCCTGTTCAGTGGAATCCAGAAAGAGTCAACAAATATGTTGCCACAACTGGAAAGTTTAATATCTGAACTCTTCAAGAGCTTTGTGTTGTATGCACACAATAATAAAACCTGTAAGAAAAATAATATGATACAATGACATCAAAAGCAACATCAGGGGCTGGGGTTGTGGCTTAGCAATAGAGTCCCACCTAGCACATGTGAGGCGCTGGGTTCGATTGTCAGCACCACTTAAAAGTAAATAAATAAAATAAAGGTATTATGTACAACTACAGCTAAAAAAATATTTTTAAAAAGTAACATCAAAGTTATACTTTGCCTCAATAAATTCAGCATCAGCCCTCAAAGTAATGTCACATCACTTTAAAAAGTTTTTCTTTAGAAAAGCAAAAAGAGGATTTTTCCCCAAAATTTAGTTCAGAGAAATGATATGAACAAGAACTGTACACAGGTCATAGATGAAAAAGAATACTATTTGGAATAGTAAATTATTTTTGAAAAGTGACATTTCATAYTGTAAGTTTAAATTTCAGCATTTGAAGGCCCGCTGTAGTAATACTACACCAGAACCTGGTGGATCTCCATTTGATTTCTTCTTACTCCTCAGTGTGGACCTATGATGTTCCCCTCCTCTCCTCTCCATTCATTCAACCCACTCACAACTTTCCAGGACCCACCTCTAAGATGAGACTTCTCTTAATTACTCGCATTCTAGTAATTTCTCTGTTGTTTGCATTCTGATAATTTTTAGAGTAAGGCCCATACAATATGGCACCTATTTACAGTCACGGAGTCATAGAATTTGAGATTCACAGAACCATAGAGATGATCTGGCCAAATTCCCTCATTTTAGATATAATAAAGTTAAAGCCCAAGCCTGGATATCAAAACTGACTRATTAAGCACAATGTTATTTATCTCTGCTTCCTTGAAAAAACAAACTAAAATAAGAGTAAAGGGAATTTTTTTAAGCACCAAGGACAGAAAGAAGAAGAGAGGAGGCGAAACAGACAATGTTAGCAGCATTCTGATGGAAGAAAACACTTGGAAAACTCAGCAGAGAGGAAAAGCTGTGTCTTAAGTGACTTGAGGAATTGCCAACAGGAAGCATGACCTAAAACTGAAAAGGCTCCTGGACTGGAGGTGTAGGCACCTTAGAAGGCAGGAGTGGGTAGGACTGCAAACAGGAGCRTTGGACAAATGCTTCCYCGCCCTTCTCAGAGCCCACAGAGCCAGGAGATCCCCCATCCCCTTGCCACCTCTCTCTTGGATGAAATTCTTCCATTTTGCTCTCTGCTGATATTAAGTCATGAGGATCTATGCTCAGGGACATTGGGGCAGGGGTTAGGTGCTGGAGTGAAAATATTGGAATTAATGTATTCCGAATGCACGATATCCCCTTACTCCATCACAGCCTCTTCCCAGAATGTAGGTAACAAAGCAGGTGTCCAAGAAAATCCTCTGTGGGGGAAATTGACCAGTTAAAGAGAAAAGACCCACAGATGCTGACATTTCTGCAAACTTAAGTGAAACTGCTGGCTCCATCTGCAGATATCCTCCAATGAGGCCCATAAATCAGGAAGCCTGACCCCAGACGCTCCTCAGTGCCTCACTTCAAACACCTACAGTCAGTCAAGAGTTCAGAGCAGGAAATGAAAGGCAGATGCCAAAACCAACAGAGGAAAGGAACTGGAAGGATCAGATACAACACAGAGAGCAGAAGAAAGCTTCAATGGAACCGTAATTAGTACCTGCAGGGAAAAGGACAGACCTGCGTCCATGAAGTAGGAACACATGCTATTAAAATAGAACCACTGGAAAACAAGTAAGCACTTTAAAAATTAAAAAATTAACATAACAACTAAATAATCAGTAAAATATTTGAAACATAAACTTGAACCTCATCTCCTCCAAAGTGAAACCTAAATTTGAAATCATAGATAATAGGGGAGAAAAGATTAGCAAACTAAATACTTGGTCCAATAGGTTCAATAGTCAAGAAGACACAGAGACATCCGAGGCAAGGAAACCGTCAAAGAAAAAAATCTCTATGAACTGAAGTACACTACTTTCCAGATTGAAAAGGGCATCCTAAAAATCCAGCAGAATGGATTGAAGACCTAAGCCAAAGCACACTGTGGAATCCCAATACACAGGGAATAGAAGAAAGAGCCGGGAACTTCCAGCATCACATATGAAGACCTAGGATCTCACTGCTGGGCACATTTCTAAAGGAAATAAAATCAGTATGTCAAAGAGATATCTACTCTCTAATACTTACCACAGCAATGTTCACAATAGCCGAGATATGGACACAACCAAGTGTCCATCAAACAGGTGAATGGGTAAAGAAATATATTCATAAGAGAATACAATTCAGCAATAAAAAAACAAAGAATAAAATTCTGTCATTGGTGATAATGTGGATGAACCTGGAGGACAATGTTAAGTGAAACAGGGGGGACAGAGAAAGACAAGGGCTTAATGATGTCATGGGCTTCACAGAGTGAAGATTCCAGAACATAGTACACTCTGTTCAAGTTCTCACTAGTATTATCATCTTGTGAGCCTCATGAGCTTCAACCAGTTATTCAACACCAAACACTACACTGAGGTCCTAAAACGATGAGTAGATGAATGCACAAATAMACCCATATTTATATCATCCAATAAATTTCATTCAGTATTCTTCCCAAAATAGGATTTGGTGTCTGAGAAGATCTAGTTCCTCTAAGCCAACATTTTTCAATTTTTTTTCCTGAATTTTATGACAGCAACTATCTTCCATTATGAACAATTCATACATACTTTCTGTTAAGCAAGGGAAAATGTATCCAAACTAAGAGATGGGAACACAGAATATTCTGCATCTTTTCTTGTGGCTTGCAAAAATCACTGTTTAAACTAGAATTTGTTGGAACCTGGCTTCTCATCTATGTTTGACCCCAGTTTGTGCGCTCTTGCTAATTTTCAAACTTGATTATTGAGGGCAAACCTTGCTTATCTAATTATATGCAGATGTAGTCTTTACATTTGACTCTTCCACATTGTTTCTGAAAGCAGCATGCGGACGTCATAGCCCATCCTGCCCTTGCCTGAGATGTACATTGCCGTGGYACGCAACAAATTCATTCCCGGTCACTGCAGGTGAATTTGGGTTGGCATGAAATAACYACACCGAGACAGAGAAAATACCTTTTTCTTGGGATTCTTTAGAGACAGCCCCTCTGCTCCAGCTCCCACAAGGGAGGCAGAAAAAAAGAGAGGGAGGATGTCCTGAAGCCCCTTTTAATTGAGGGGAAGACACTGGAGAAAGTTCCACCCCAATGAGGGGGGTCAGGTTTCAGGAGGTTGAGTCATGATGTCTTATGATCAGCAGATTGACTGACATCTTGGAAGGCCACACCCATCTCAGGTGCTGAGAGGATCATCAGCAGAGGGAGTGAAAAGGACACAGACGTCACCAGCGCAAACAGAGAGGCAACCTCAGCCCGTCCACTCGCGTACTCATGCTCCTAGTTCACACACAGCCCGTGGCTGGCGCACCACAGTCCGTGATGTTTTTCTGACCTTATGAAATGGACTTCATGCCCTATTTCTTATTCTTTTAAACTTGTTGCTTAGRTAAACATTCTGTTTCTCAACTAGGTAACCCTTCTTTTTCCTGGCTTTTTTGATAGCAAGTAAATAAATTCTGACTTACGATGAAATTTTATTTTTACAACATAGATCATGAAGCAAAATATTCAGAATACAATATTTTTTACCTACCGTATGTGAGGCATTCTGATATGTTTTTCCTTGTGTTTCATTTTCTTTATGCTACTCATGAGCCAGTATATTGATTCCTTGAGCTATTAGTCTTTTTGGAACCACAATTTGGAAACTGCTTTAGTAAATTTATCTAAAAGATATTATAGATTCATTGTTCATTATTTTTAAAACATATATGGAATATCTGTCCAGGACAGGCCTCTGTGGGGTGGGAAGGACAGCACACACTGTTCTCCATATCCACTTCTGCATTCACAGGTTGAAAGTATTTAGGGAAAAAAAAAAATTGTATCCAAACTGAATTTCACAGATTTCATCTTTTCTTGTCATTATTCCCTAAACAACACAGTATAATAACTATTTTTATATCATTTACATTGTATTAGGTATTATAAGTAAACTAGAGGTGATCTAAAATACAGGGAAGAACATAAATAGGTTATATGCCAATGCAACAAAATTTCATGAGAGACTTGCGCATCTGTGGATTTTGATATCCTTAGAGAATCCTAGAACCAATCCCCAGAAGATACTGAGGGATAACTGAATTTTAAAAATTAGGAAATAACTTCAAATAAATCTGGGAAATGATACTTTAAAGTTTCTCTTTTCATCTGTATAAAAAGAAATATATAATTGGCTGAGAGTTAGTAGCAGGTTTCCAGCCTAAGGAAGCAGGATGAAGGGGCCAGTGTGAGAAGAGAGAGAGGCCCAGGAGGCYTTAGGATTTGACAGAGGTCATATGAGTCAGGAGCTGCAGGAGCTACCAGAGGCACAGCTAGAGGGGACAACACTGGTGCTCTGGGAAGTGCAATAGAAGACCAATACGGATGGAGAAAAGCAAATAAAAATGCTGAACAGGGGAAAAGTATATGGCAAACATCTTATGGGAAAAAGCCTGAGGCTCTTCTTAGAAAAAGTAGCAATCAAAGGAATTCTATAGTGGAAGGTTCCCCTGCAAAAGGCTATATTGACCAACTGTTCCATTTTTAAAAGCTTGACCCATTTTCAAGAATCTCCTAGAATCTTAACCACTATTCAATTGCCAATAGTTCAGGGACTGACACTTGCTGCTGTTTAAGTTGAAATGGTCTGGTTAAACTTTATATCTAAGCAGAAGACTTAGCTTTGTCATTATATTACATACCATAGGTTCTCCTTCCTTTGGAGGTCTTTCCAGGGGAGGAATGTACCACTGAAAGCAAAGTTCTTTGTTTACAGTTGGAACTACCATTTCTGATGACGTAACGTCCACAGAAGATGTACTGGAAAGAAGTTTTGAAGAAAAGATAGACTGCAGGGAACTGTCATGATATATCTAGGGAACAACAACGACAACAACAAAATTCATGTTAGTTTAACTGCTTATAGTGAATTCATTCAATATTTAAAGAAAATTAATTGATCGTATTGGAAAATTCTGAGAATTTTCTCATCTTGTTTTACAAAGGTAATCTTTAAACTATCTCTAGATCACTATAGATTCTGCTATAATAAAAATATGCTTTAAAACCCAGCAGACTTGACAAATTTCTTCCACTTAGTGAATTTTGAGAGGAATGATCTGGAGGGGAAAATACCCATGCCACCTTCTCAAGTTCATCACTGTTTCTAAGAAACATCTTCTATATTGTCTTTGGTTTATTCATTGGTGAATACACTGAGAGTGTGGCTATAATTTATTATCTATTTTCCAGTCACAGTGCCATATACAAAACAAGACACAATTTTTGCTCTGAAAGGTGAAAACTCATGGCCCTCATTCCCTCTTTCAATGAATGTAGCTGATTTATAAGTTCAAGTCTTTGGTGAATCTGGGCCCAAATTCTTTTATAGAAATTGGTCATTAAGTCAAGAGTCTTCAAGAAATCTCAGTGTGTAGAATGCAAATTCATAAATTATTTAATTGTCCAAGGCAGCTAAGAAAACAAAGCATGGTGGCTGTGTATCAACAAAAAGACAGGCTAGCCAGAGAGATAATAACAGTGCTAACAGTATCTTCAGTATAAAAAGGACCAACAATGGAGGGAAAACCATTTTCAAGATCGACTTCATGTCATTCCCAGGATCACAGCACAGTAGCTGAGAAGCAATGCCTCCGTTGCCCTATTTCTGACATCAAAGGTTTGAGGACTGAGTGGAACATGTCAGTGCCAGAAACAAATGCTTGGTGTTTCTATAAGGTTTTGTCCTTCCCATTATTTCTTAACCTATTCAGGATACAATGCAAGTCCTCAAAATAAAATAAAAAGAGAAAGACAGTGACCTTTCAAGTTGCCTACTGATAAAAGAAAAAAGATGTTTTGACTGCAAGGTAATATTAAGTGTGAAAACTTTTCAAAAATGTCTACAGGCTATCATAAAAGCTATGATACTTTAAAGCATAACCAACATAAAAAAATAAGCAAGATTGTGAGGGTTAAATAGACCCTCAAAGTTGCATAATTAAGACTAATGCCATGTCAGACAATTCACAAAAACAAAACAAAAGAAACAAACAAACAAAACAGGTAAATAATTCAAAAAAATAATTTCTCCCATTTTCCCATAACTGAGTAACTCTCAGAGATTCTGACAATGATTTGAGCAAATAATTCATATTTCATCACTAGCTAAGTATAAAAGAATAAGAACCAAATACCTTTACTTTGATATATGCAGTATCTTGTACCATGATGGGCTAATAACAGKAAATTGTAATAGAAGTCAATATCAAAACAGGTATATAGGTTTCCATTATCTTTAAAGTACTGTAATATCTTATATAATTAATGTGATTGATTATATAAGCCAAYTGAAGACTTATACACTAAGTACTTTTTATATGCTTTCTCTGTTCTTTGAAAAGAATGAAAGGACGGACCTACCTAGTGAACCCTAGGTTGCCACAGTCCTATAAACTACGAACTGCTTTGCACTAGTCATATATTTGACCTTGTACAGACTGTTGCTGGCACACATAGCATTAGCATAAGTAGCTCAGTATCATGTACAGTTCTAAACAGGTCTTTTTAGTGGAATTTTCAATGAAATTGGCTTGGCTTTGTTTTCCCCTCACAAAGCTCCAMTAGACATCACGACATGGAGATTCACACAACTGATGAGCACAACACATAGCAATGATTGTTYGGGAAAAGGCATCTACTTCTTGCAAGAAAAGCAGGTTGAAGTATCAAATTGTGGGAAGAGTTTGATTGAAATAGCCTCGTGAGTGATTAAAGCCTCAAAAATGTTATTATAAAAATCAGCCAAGCTTGGCATTCATATAAAAAAAAATCCAAAAAGGCTTTATGCTCGTTAGCTGTCTACCCTAGTGAAACAAACACATGATTAGGTASCTCGCACCTGTCAGGCAAGTGACAGTGATCTCTAGAGCTGATTATCCTGGGAGAGTGTTACACTAATTATATCAAAAAAGAGCAAACAGGGTGAACACTCTTTGATAACACTGTTGCCATTAGAAATGTCTCATGTATTTACAAGATATTCAAAGTCGTACCTTTGGAGCATCATCCTTGGGAACCGGGTAATAGTAAGTTGCCCTTAATGCTAAAATACCTTGCAGAGCTCCTTTCAGAGCACATATGAAGAAGTCACACATATTAGTTTCCAAAGTTTTCTTCAATAACCACAAGAACAGATCCATTAAAACTACTTTCATAGCCTTCCCTATTCTCTGTCCCCTACTTTAAAACAACAGAGGTGTCTGGGAAATATCGCAGCAATCCTCAAAGAGAACCTCAGTTCCCGGGGAAGGGGATGTGGGTTCAGAATGGGAATCTGGTGTTACATAGATGGAAACAATTTCATCCCACATCCACTGATTCCTTCCTTTTGGGTGGGGTGGGGGTAGAGACATCAACATTAGATTCCCAGCCTGTCTACTTCCTCACTCACTCCTCTCCCTAGGGGATATTTATTTGATTGGTAATTTAGGAAAAGTGAATCTTTACTGGGAGTGAACACTCTCTGTTCCTTCATACAACAGATTTTTGAGGGGCCTGTGACCACACGAAATGGCCTATAATCACCCAATAATATATGACTGGATGGATAAATCTTCCTACTTTGGTATTCATTACTTGGAAGTAATGAATTCACCAGTAGTATATAAACTTCATCCTATAATGTCAACTTCATGACCATAAGGTAGGTATTTTTAAGTCTTGATCCATCTTMTTCTTTTCTCTTATTTGTCAAATGATTTAGAATCTGGGCAAGAAGGTGGGTGCTGAGTATCAAGCATGGCACAAAAGTCTAGAATCCAGGAAGGACAGGAAAGTCCTTTGGAAAATCTTCCCATGTGATCCCAAGACATTGCTCTGGGGACAACTCCATAATCCCTTGGGAATCACTTCTTTAACTGAATTCTTAAAAATTCCTTAAAGAGTTTTACCACAACTTTCTTCAACTCACAACTTATTAACTAAATCATCTGACTCTCTTGAGTAGAAGGGCAGGAATGACCAAAAGAATGATTTTTAAAACTTTTTATTATTATCTACCCAAAACGTAAGGTTGCTATATTGTAGTAGAATAAAATGAACGAAGGCTCTCACTCTGGAATGAGCCAAATTTTTTCAGATCACTGCTCCGGGACAGTTTGCATCAGAAACATAGACATGTCTGGTATAGGAAAGTCTATAATTGTAAACATAAAGAGTTAGGTGGGGGCTGGGGTTCTGGCTCAGTGGTAGAGCACTTGCCTAACATGTATGAGGCACTGGGTTTGATTCTCAGCACCACATATAAATAAACAGATAAAATAAAGGTCCATGGACAACTAAAAACATGTTTTTGGTTTTTTTTTTTTTTAAAGAGCTAGATGGTGAAAGTTGAAGTAGAAAGAGTTCGAAATAAAGAAGAATTTTTCTGGTTTTGAAAGTATTCTGCAAAAGTAAATCAATTTGTTCATTTTACAAATATGTAATAGAAATGTCATGTCCACTTGGGTTTTTCTGCTTGAATCTCAAACTGAGTCTACAAAGCAGAACTTTGTAGAACTTTGCTGGTCATCCTGCCTCCCTCAGAGCTACTGATGGTGTCGTCATGTTCCAGTGAGCAGAAGTTCTAATGGCAGAATAATTTCTGCCAGTCCATCTTATTTGCTTTCCATATCCAAAGGCTCATCAAATTGTTGTGGAGGTGGTTTCCAACTTTACTGAAACAATTGTCTTTTATAGCTATCTTTTCCTTTCCATTGTGATCACRAGCTTCATTTCTCTATCATCTCTTTCTTAGATGAGTCCTTTTCCTCTATTCTTTGCCYCCTATATACTAACATGTTTTATTTTCACATTCTTTCTGACACTTTTTTCCTAAAAAAAAAAAAGCATCTCTGAAATAACTTAATTTTTTTGGTCTAATTTTATGTCTTTCTCTTCTCCCATATCAAGACTATGTACAGGGACTATGTCTTCTCCATCTTTTGTTTATATCAACTACGATTTGCTCTGGTGTATTGTATTATGTTTGTTGAGTACTAAATTTTAGGCACATATTCCTATTTTTAAACACAACCCTTTACTTTTTTAGCCTCTGATATTCCAGCAATTTTGATTGCTTATTCAAATATTCAAATCACTATTATTTAAGACCCTAGGTGTGTCAATTAAAAAAACTTCACTCATATTCCCCTTTTTATATCTTTTCAACAGGTTGGTTGTTTTTGTTTTGCTTTTGTGGTACTGGGGATTGAACCCAGGGTCTCATGCATACTAGTCAGGTGATCTACCATGGAGCTAATTTAATAACTTTCCAAAGGTAAAAAAATCTTCTTTTACCTTATTTAAAATTTCTACCTCTATTTTCTATTTGCATTCACAACTGTAAAAAGTACACACCCTGAATTTTTATTATATATTTAAAACAAAGGTACAGAAATGAAGTATAAATTAGAAACTTTGACTAGAGAGGGGTGATATTGAAATTTGTGTCACTTCTTGGCAAAATGGCTGCCTGAGAGAYGTTTTGTGCAGGAATGTAGAAAAGTCTGAGAGAAATTCAAGGTTTATGAAAACAAGAAGACAGAACATTTGAAATGTGAACTGTCCTGAAAATCTAGGCTGTATGTTTCACCTGCCTAAATAGTAAAAGAAAAATGAGCATTCCCTAAAACTCTGAGGGAAATGGAGATCTCTGTGCCAATACAGGGGTTCATGCACTTCCTTCAGACTTGTGAGGACGAATTCTAAGAAGTTTTAAATACCGTAGAGATTTAATGTTTTAACAACTTACCTTGGCTATTGTGTCATATAGGACTCTCTCTGCAAGATGTGGTTTTTCCAATCCTAGAAAAAGTTCTTTTGGGAATTCATCAATACAAGACGACGAATATAGCTGTAAGTGCTTTTTAAGAAAAAAATGCATTTCTTTTTCACGTAAAATCAGTTCGGAGTTGTAAAGGGATGTGAGAAGCGTATCATCTGGCAAGGAAATTCCAGATACTGGCTTTGCAGATGCTTAAGGAAGAAAAATACTTGAATTAGACTCCCGCTAGGTAACAGAATGTCTTGATGTTGCTGGTTTGTGTGCTAACCACTGCTCTGTATATCTCTGACAGTCAGGGACCATCAAGGTGACAAAAAGGCAGATAGATGCCTTCCCAAGGCCCTAACTCTTAGTCTATTACCCATTGAAAGTATTATATGGGTTTCCCCTACCCTACCCATTCTTCCAAGCAATCTATTGACCACAGAGACAAGGTGCCTCATAAAAGCCAGGGTGCCTTTGCCACAATGTCTCCAAGAATAGATTAGATGTGAGAATGAAACTGTTGGGAGCCCCCCAAAAGGACAGAGGTCAAGCAACCTCCTGGGCCCTTTACCTGCTATTGATTGAAAGTGCCCTATAGGATTTCATTCGCCCACACACTTTGCTCCCTCAGCAGCTGCAACAGCCTCAAACCAGKATGTTTGCACAAGAAAAAGAACATCTTCTGACACTGCACCCATAACCAGTGGAGAAACTCCCAGGATATGGCCCACCCTGCAACCCCACACAAGAATGAAAGCTTGCCCCATTTCTTATGTCCAGGGACCAGCCTGGTAGTGCTGTTCCCTTTCTCCTCCAGGTGAACCCCCACCCCAGTTAAAGCCTGGGCCGCTTGTTCCACTCACTTGGCTTGGTTTCATTTCTATTATCACCAAATCAGAAACTCTCCTCTCAGGCATCATCCCCACGCCAGCGAGGCACTGCCAATCATCTTCCTGATTTTAGAGCTAATCCACTAATGGAGTTACTTTTTTTGTCAAAGGCAGGAAAGAAAATTTCAGAGGCACATGGGATATCACTTCCAGTGTTGAGTAATAATAATAGTACCATGTATTCTGTCTACCTGTCTTTTGGGGGATTCCCCCCAAACAGACCCCAAAGCAAGATTTTAGGTTCAGGTGATTTATTTGAAAAGTGATCTCAAGGAGCATAAGTGGAGGAATGGGCAAACTGGGTCAGGGGGAACCATGAGCTAATAAAGGTGAGTAAATGAATGGGCTACAGCTATGGGCAACGAGGATTCGATCCTCCTGAGACCTCTTGAAAAACCAAGRAGATTTAGTCCCAGTAAGAGACAGAAGACCAACTGTTTGTCTAGCCATTCCCGACCTCATTAGTTGAAAGTTATCCTAGGTATGTGGACTGCCTGACACCTCCAAGCTGTCCTGGAGTTTCCAAGAAAACCCAGYGCAGAAGCAGTGAGGGTGTTTGACATGGGACATGTCCACAGGTGAATCAGAGGCTAGCTAGGTTGCTGCAGGGCAGGGTGTCACCAGAGCTGGCTGTACTGCCTGGTGTCCACCTCCTTCCTCTCTGTACTTCCACTGCTCTAGGCCCCATCATGATGAAATTTTTAGCCCTGACACCTTTCTGAGCACTTGCTTATCCCACTGCTAACTCCTGATACCTGAGTCGGTCACTCTGTAATTCAGCCTATTTTCCCTGCTGACTTCCCCACTGCTGGACCTTAGMGTGGGTCAAACTGTCTTTTCTGTTTGTGCTCAGCAACACTGTGTCACTGACGYCATAGGCACAGATAATCCATGATAATGTACATTCTTACAAAACCACAAGAGGGACTGATAGGAAGCAGACTTTACCAGTCTTTCTAGATATTCTGTAAACAGTCATTTAAAAAAGAAAACTCAACAAGAACAGCAACGCTCCACAGGGTTAAATAGCCCATCTTAAGCTATGCATTTCTTCTCTTTTTCATAATGGATACTGGAATCCTGGTTTCTCTAAAGGCAAACTTTTATCCTATTTATTTCATAAGTTKTCACATTGTGATCACTGTTTCCAAACCATCTTGAGCCATGGACCAACCACTCTAGCATTCTTGGAAAGCATCAGGATGTTTCTATATCATAGTGAAATAAAATATATAAAATTTCTAAGGAAACCAATTACATTGAAATACTTTCTACCGAAAGGCCCATGAATTCCAGATTGAGTACCCCTGAAATTTTTATCTTCTGACAAGAGATTACTCGTGCCAGGTAGCCAGGCATGGTGATACATGCTTATAATCTCAGCTACTCAGGAGGGGAGGTTGAGGTGGGAGGATCTCAAGTTCAATGCAGTCCTGACAGGAAGGAAGGAAGGAAGGAAGGAAGGAAGGAAGGAAGGAAGGAAGGAAGGAAGGAAGGAAGAGAGGGAGGGAGGAAGGGAGGAGGAATTTCATAGTTCTAAATAACAAATAGGACCTAAATAGGAACCAGAAAGGAATATGTTCTTTTTTAACACATTGAAACCTACCTAGCAATTTGTTCATGTTATTGATTCTTTGTAGATGTATATAGTAGCGCAGGAGAAGGACCCATGTAATTTCTACTTTGGTCTGAATCTTTGTTCTAGCATCTGTGTTGTCAGAGATGTCATTATTTTGGTGCAAAACTGCACAGCAATTCTGGAAGGCAACTTCATAGTTATCTGAAAGTAAAAAAAAATTTTTTTAAATAATACAATGTTATACTTTTCTTGAAAACAACCATATGCAGAAAAAAATGCAGAACTTATAAGGGAAGGACTGACACATGAGCATATGTTCAATGAAGAAACTTTTGTGTCTCAAAGATTTCACATACAATGTTAACTGACAAATCACAGACTGAGAAAAGATAATAAGAACACATATGAATTATTTGTCTCTATATCAAAATACTTAAGAAAAATGTTCAGTAATCAAATTTCAATAGGCTAGTCTCTCTCTCTCTCTCTCTCTCTCTCATACACACACACACACACACACACACACACACACATTTAACAAGTAATTCATAGAAAAATAAACCCAAATGACAAAATAATTTAGCCTCACTAAAAATCAAGGTCATGCAAATTAGGATGAAATGCCATTTCACATAGACATTAAAATATGAAAATAATAATATTAGTTATAATTTGAAGAAACTAGAATATTCAGATACAATCATGATTGCAGCTTTTGGGGAAAACAATTTGGTAGGCTCTCATAAAACTTAAAACACATATATGTACAAAGTCTTGCTCAAATATTGCCGCAGCCCAGCTGGCTGGGCAAAATAGCTGGGGGGGTGACGAGCAACTTGTGTAGATTGATACAGCAGGAGTAGGAGCCGTTTATTGTAGGACAGGAGGGGTATATATACATTCCACACAGCTTATCTTAATTAACATAAACTAGATACAGCAGTCAACCAATAAGGAATTTCCAACTTAATGGCTCACTGGCGTTACTTCACAAACCACTCCCTCTGGCAAAATGCCAGGCGCCATCCTGACTTGTTTACAGACCCTAACAAAAGATGTTTATGGGAGTTTTATAGTTTCAAACAACTCAAGTCAATTCATTTGATTTCATTTATGAGGAGGAATGAATCAGATCTATAAGGAAGAAAATAGAAGAGTAGAGTCTCATTTCAAATCCCAGCAGTATTTCTCAGCAAAATATGAACTTGAATCTCTCTGTGCTTTGGTCCTCTCTGAGCTTTTGATTTTTCTGAGTCTATTCTTTAAAATGGGCATGTTGCAAGTGGTTATAGAGAGAATTTGAAGACATACAATGAGTTAAAAAAAACAGGTCCCAGAGACATTTAAAATATGATACCATTTACTGAATTTTTTCCCTCTCTTGCTCTGTAAATATGTATAGCTCACAGTTGTCCTTTACCATTTAAATGTGGATATTATGTATCCTATAATGTATTGTTAATTTTATCTTTTGGGGACTTTTTTGGGAGAGAAATTGCATGCATTTATCTTTTTCCATTAAAATTTATTCAGGMTCATGAATATAGCTATAATTCATTGACAATTTTTCATTACCATATATTATTCCTTTAAATGAATATATTGTAATTTATTTATCTATTCTAATGTTGATGTACATAGGGGTTCTTTCTGAATTTTTTTTTGTTTTTGTCTTTGTTATTATGAACAAGGCTGCTATGAATATGTGAGTACATATTATCTAAGTACACAAATTACCTTAAAGTGGAAGTAATGAGGTAGTTCTTTTTCAGGTGTTTTTTAAATCAATCTTGGCTTTTGCTTTTCTATATAAAGTTTAGTATAAGATTGTTAAATTACACAAAATAAAACTTGATGAATTGTTACTGCAACTACATTTTTWAAAAATATTTTTTAGTTGTAGATGGACACAATACCTTTATTTTATTTATTTATTTTTATGTGGTGCTGAGGAGGGTACCCAGTGCCTCACATGTGCCAGGGAAGGGCTCTACCACTGAGCTACAACCCCAGCTCCAAAACTAAATTGTTTATAAATCATTTTTAGAAAACGTACTTGGCATGTTACCAATATTGAGTGTTCTTATATACCTTTGTTTTCTGAATTTTTTTCAACAAAATTTTRTAATTTTTTGTTGTATAACTTTTGTTAGATTTATCTTTTGATGTTTTACATATTTTATAGTGAATATAATATCTTTTTTAAATGTATTGCCTGTTTAAAATTTATAGAAATAAAATTTTACACCGATTGATTCTTACTGTCTGTAGTTTTGGGGAATTAGCTGTGTCAATATGTCATAGCTAATGACAGATTTTTTTCTTGCCTATTACTTATTTTGTAAAATTTCTTTTCCCTTTAATACTGTGCAAGGCAGGAATTCCAGAACAATTTTGAACCAAAGTGGTGATAATATTTTTTGCTCCTGCTTTTAAAGGGGACAGTGTTCGCATTTGAATATTGAGTATAAATGCAGTAGGTTTTTTCCTCATTTATAACTTTTTCAAATTAAGTAAATTTACTTTAATTCCTAGTTTTAGACTCATGAATGATTGAATTTTATTAAATTTTTGTGCATTTATTTGAGAGGATGAATATTTTTCTCTTCTAATCAGTTAATGTAGTGATTTAGTTTAATAGATCTTCTAATACTAAATCATATTTGCATTTCTGAAAGTAATCCAATTTGACATGTTGTATCTTTTAATGAGCTGCTTATTTTCACCATACATTTACATTATCAAAACTGAAATTCCTGMGAGGTGCGGTGGCACATGCCTGTAATCCCAGCAGWTTGGGAGGCTGAGGCAGGAAGATCGAGAGTTCAAAGCCAACCCCAGCAAAAGCAAGGTGCTAGGCAACTCAGTGAGACCCTGTCTCTAAATAAAATACAAAATAGGACTGGGTATGTGATATTTCCTGCACAACCACTCTTTTGACTTCAAAATTTTTATACTTACAGCACCAAATTTAGTACCCCTATTTTTATATATCAACATTGTTCTAAAAGCTCTCTTTCTAGTTCCACCAAATATAAATAATCTCTTGATGTCATACTTTGTGATCTAAAAGTATCTACTCCCTTCCTTTTCCTTGCTAGCCTGTTTTCAAAGTTGATAACATTGAAGATCTGTTCTGTCTCCATAAAGAATCCTTCCTTATTTTACCTCTAAGTTGAAAATCAATAAATACTTAAAATTATTATAACTTCATAAGGATTGTTGACTTCCTTAAGACAAAATTTCTTTCACGAAGGGTAAATGCTGCAATCTTGTGACCCACAAAGGATGAATTTCTTAGCATAAAGATCAAATCGATTGTTTTTACTCATACCAGTCTCAAAATCATGTCATATTCTAATTCACTTCATGTTTGGGCCATGGATTCTTAAAGAACATTCTCCATTATAATTTCTGGATGTCTTTTTTACTCCCTTGTGGAGGAAAGTAATATTGTATTCTTTACCATATTCTTAATATGATAATATCTAGCTTTTTAGTTATTTTTTCTGCTGCCTCRAATCCATCCATGCTGCTTCAAGACATTCCTGACCTCACAAACTTGCCAACCTACTTTGTGCAGATGTATTTCCAGTTTGCTGCACAGTTGGAAGCCCTGAGGTCCTGCCTTTCCTTCCCTCCCGCCCTCCTTCCTGTTGCTTCCTTTCTTCATGTGCAACTTTGTACACTGGGGGTGCATTCTCAAGTATGTGCACCCATAAATGTGCACCAAAAGTAAACGATTTGCATTCTTACAAAACCCTCATACTTGACTCAAGATTTAGTTAAATATATGATTTCACTAGAAACTCATCTTCCCCTAAAACTTCAAGGACCTTGCTCTCCTGCTTTCTAGCACCAATCATTGATGGCAAGAAGCCTGATGCCAACAAATGCTCATTCCTTTCCAGTGGACCTGAATTTCCTCCCTCTGGAATATATTCCATCAACTCTTCTTATTATTTGTGGTGATTTAATATTTCATTTGGAGTCCAGGTCTAGGTTCTTTCTTATTTATGCTGCTTTGAAAATGGTAAGACCTTTCAACTTGAAGAATCATTTCTCCCTTTAGTCTTGGCAAGGACTGTGATGACTGCTTCCTAACTTCTCCCGTGCCTATATCATGAATGCCTATTAATTAAATGTTGAAACGTCTTTTTATTGAGTTTCTCTCAGTCTCTTCCCCTCCCCTCCCCAGTCCCCCACTTCTCTGATCCTATGTTAAGTGGGCACTTGATTTATGATGGACATAACCTTTAGTGATGTAAAGAAAGGAGTTCATTTCAATATAGGGTTTTGGGTTTAAAAAAATACCTTGGAGAGTTTCTGAGCTACATACTAAAATATGCACACCCCATGACCAGGAATCCCACTCCTTGGCATGTACATAAAAATGCACACATCTGTGTTTCCCGTGTCCTGTACGAGTATGTTCATAGAGGCATTATTCATTACAGCCCCAAATGTGCAGCAATATTAGGATGGATAATAAGCTGTATATTACATCCACAAAGAGGATAATCTTACAAACAAAACACCGAACAAAAATAGCCAAACAATAGAATATGGACTGTACTATTTCATTTTTACAAAATTCATAAATTGGCCAAACTAATCTGCCTGTCAGAAATCAGAAGAAAGCGAGGTTGCTAGAGGCCAGAGAGGGGCATGGTATAGACCTCCTGGATGTTGGTCTTGTTCTATTTATGGATCCAGGGTTGGTTTGACGGGCATTTCCTTGGAAATTGTTCATGAAATTTTTATCTGCATGATTTGTGTTCCTTTCTGTATTTATATTAAAAGAGTGAAACATTTATTTTTAAAAAAAACCACTAGTTTGTGGTGACTTCTAGTTTGAAAATGTTCATGTAATAATGGCAAAACCTCTTTTCCTCCTGGAAATCACTCCTAAACAACAAAGAAAATAAGTAACAAAAACAGAAATTCTACTTTCAGTAAAATCAGGGAAGAGCTAAAATCCTAAACCACAAAATGTTTGGAGCCATGCCCAAAGTCGTTGTCCTCGAGAGTAAAAAGGAGGAGGCRGATGACAAAAGAGAGGTGTTCATCTCAGAAAGAAACAGCAGAGTATACTTGATGATGACCTGCACATTTTTTAATATTATTATGCAGCCAACAAGCTGGAATCAACTGCTCACAGTTTAAAGAAAAAGGAAATAAACATTATAAATGTAACATAT